TCTCTTTTTGAAACTTATTCCCCATTCTCTTGATGGTTCTTGAATAGACTTTGAAGATGGAAGCAGGAGTATGAATGTTGGTCCCATTACTGAAAGCTTGAATGATTTTTTCCTCTCACCATAGCTCAGTTGGGAAAACAGTGGGTCTGACACAAAATGATTTTAATTTATTCTCTTTCTAGCTGAATAACTCAAAGGGTTTTTCAGTGATTCTTGAAACAAATGGTGTCAAGATGGCTAAACATCTTATCTGAAAACCTGGAAATAAACTTAATTAGTGTAGTGGTTTTTAGATATTAAACATTTTGTGGGATGGATAATTTTGCTGTTACACCTGGTATATATATTCCTCTATGAGTCTATTTTAATTACTATTTTCTAACTATGTATATGCATCCATACTGTCAAGTGATGAATGTTCTTGGGATTGATAGTGGAGACAGAAATCTGAAGGTATATTGTCTTACTTTTTGGAAGGCATCTTTCACTAAGTAATATATTAAGAAACAGGAAAATTTTGTTAGAAACAAAGTTGGTTGGTTGATTTTGTTTAATGGCATATCATCCTCTAGAGTTTATTTAATGGTTAAATTAAAAAAATTATCCCAGTTCAAAAAGAAATTTTCAGTATCAAGCACAAACCAAATTCAGAGGAATAGCTGAAAATTCTGTCATTTCCAGAATTTTTTTTGTGCTCCCACATGTCAACTAAATAAAAAAAAATAAAAAAATGTATACAAAGAATTGGTTTGTTTGTTTAATGGCATATCAACTTATGAGTCATTTAATGCTGAAATTTAATTTTCTTATGAGTTTTGGTAATTAATTTTTTTTTTTTTCGAAAAAATGTATTGCTGGAGATGTTTTTTTTTCTAATAATATTTTCATGTTTTAACACCAGTTTGGGGAGTTTGCTATTTGCCTATAGCTGGGACCCTAACAGGTGCTACCACAGAGTGGAACTGGGAGCAACAGCAATTAAGAGGTAGTTCCATGTTATTCAGAACCTCTCAATGTAGTTTATCATCATATCCAGAACGAAATAGCTTTGTCATCACTTAATAATCAGACACATGCCATAAATAATTACTCAAAGTAGACAGTTGGTTAACCTTTGCAATTGTCATCAAAAAATTTGAAAGAATATTGAAAGACACTTTGAAAAGAAATTTCAGTAATAACTTAGACATCAGAAAAATGTTATACAATTTTTACCAAAGTTTTTAGTTAATTTTTTTCATATAAAATTAAAAATATTTATTTTTTAAATTTAACACACCTTACTCTACAGTGAACACATGACATGAGTAGTGAAGGCAAGATTCCTTTGTCTTTATCAAATGTGGCTTATAGAAACATTTCATAGCATGTAGATTGACATTGTGATGCATATTAATTATTTACACAGAGGTTGAAGAAAGCAAGAAAAATAGAAAGTTGTAAGAAAAAAGAATGTATAGCCATTAGCAAGAAGGACAGCCCAGGATGTGCACTACAAATTGGAGACATTAGAATCTAAAAAGTATAGAAATTTAACTATCTGATCAGTGTCCTAACAGACAATGGAAAATGTAACAGAAATCCAAAGAGTCATTGGAATAGCAAAAGATGTTGCCAAAAGCTAAACAAAGTATAAAGAAGCAAGAAAGTTTAATTAGAAACAAAGTGCTGAACTTTTATATAATACTAGCAGGAGAGCCCAGCGTTGTCTGGGAATGTAACAGTAACAGATAGATCAAGTATCGACCATCATAAAGACTGAAAAATAAAATTCTCCTCAGATTGACACCCAAACAATCTGAAATTTTTGTAGTGGAGCTTCCAGCATGAATGCCAAGCAGTATCGCATGCCATTTCTAAATTTCTGGCAGAGTGAATTGCATCGTGGTACTCTTTTTCTCACAGACAGTGCCCAACTGACCTTATTATACTGTGCAGTCAACAAAATCAAAAACAACATGCATGCACAAAATTAAAAACATAAAAATGGCAACAATTTACCCATCACACCCTGTACATCCTCATATGCAAATAAGCATTTACAGGTTTCATATTCATTATATATGTTCTTAACTTGACCCATTTCCCAAAATCTTTTCTTTTTTTTTTTTTAAATTCCTTCTTCCATGGGACTAAGAACATTTCAACATCTTCCCTTACATATGTATAGGAATCAAAATATCAGTTTACTTGTATATTTAAAATTTCCTCAACAGAACATGACTCAGTACAGTGTACTTAAATTCCTTTTCAAATTTTATGTATAATAAGTGCATTCATTGCAATTCTAACACCTTTCATAATCAAACATCCATTAATCTAAAGAAATGGTAAACATCTCTGTTACAGTGGAAATGGCCTCTCATTCATCAGATACACATTAGAATAATGTTTTTCTTTTCAGTAACAGTTTAATATAATCCCCATCAGCATGATGCACTTAAAGTGTTAAGAAAAGAAAAAGAACATGTATGACAGATCTTTACTCTGGTCATCCAATGTGAGAAATTAACAAAAAAAAATAAGGTTAATAATTAATACTTGGTTCTTTTTTCCTTTTACACATTTTGTTCAACACAGAGATGTCACACACACACACACACACACACACATATATATATAATACATTTAGGCAGCAAGAACTAATTTAAACAGATTTTGTTATGTTCAATTGACAAGGTCTGTGTCTGAAGTTTTATTGCATTATTATAATTTTTTTTCTTAATAAATCGTACATCTAAAACAAAATTGTAGCTAAAATGTCCAAAGTTTGTTTTGTTCATGTCCTTTCAACTATCTCAATCATTATCAGGAACTAAATTATCAAGGCTAAATATTGGCAGTTTTTTTTGTTTTTTTTTTAGGACACTACATTTCAAATTCAAAAATTTATGTTAATAAATTATATCACTAATATCAACAATAAAAAAATTAAATTCTTACATTGGTCACAGAGGCATTGCACTTGTCAAAATATAATGCATTTTTTGCACATATCAATCACCATAACACAACCAAAATATAACCGCTAACAGAAAATATTCATGCATAATACCAAAATAATGTATAACACTCACTACAAAGAAAGACTCAAAATGCATGAGGCTGTTATTATACAAAAGAAACAATATATATTTAATATTTTTCACTATGAGAGATGGCATTTTAAAGTATGTATAAAATATTTAATAAGTCTTAAATTTAATAACACTAATATATGTATAATAATACACATAGAATATCTGATAAATTCATTCATTTTCAAGTGTTGTCAAGCTGTATGAAACAGTTCTTCATGTGATGTTACTCATATATATATATATATTTGAATTTGAAATGTAGCATTCAAAAAAAAAAAAAAAAAAAAAAAAAATGCCAGGATATAGCCAACAAAGTCAACATTTTTTTTTTTTTAAATCATTTCACTACAAGGAATAGGGATGAAAGAAAATAAGACTTTAGTGAGGTGAAAAGACAATAAAAGAATGAGCCTCAGAAAGACAGAAGATTGTGATTGATATTTCATTTAAATTTTTGAATATTGTAGGTGACAGAGAAACAAGAAATTTGAAGAGAGATCCACAGGCAAAAAGTGCATGAAAAGAGACTATATGAGAATAGTCATATGGTTACATCTAGCTATTTCAACAGTAAAACGATGAAACCTATTTGGCAATTTAGTACTACACTTAAATTCACACAGTCGAGGAGGAGAGCTCATTAGAAGAATGGCTATGAAAATATTTGTAGAAATGACAGGAAAGTTATGTTGTAGCGGTGGGCAAATGACAAGACCGATAACATTACAGATCCTTCCTTTGGATTTTGATTGTGATTCAAAAGAGGGGTAACAAATATATATATATATATAGCCATAAATTTCATCAGTCCTCTCTCTTATCAAAGCAAAATCAAGGACAAAAACGTTTATAATGACTAAAAAATTATACTCTCACCCAAACTAATTCTATATGTAAAAAGAAATATAACATTAAATGCTAATTAGTGAGGAGAAAGAACAAGAACAGGATTCAGGATGACAGTAGATGACAATTGACATTGCATTTAAATTTTTGAACATCATAGGTGGCAGGGAAGCTAGAAATTGGAATAGAATTCTAGAGGAGAGAAGTGCAAGAAAAACTTATTAGAAAATAACTTATGGTTACATATATCTATTTCATCAGTAAAACAATGAGACATAATAGCCAACCCAGTAATACATTTAAATTCATGCAGTTGAAGTACCAAGGAGGAAAGATCATTAGAACAAATGCCATGAAAATATTTACAGAAAAGACAGAGGAAAGCCACATGACAATGATGGAAAAGTGACTGAAGTAAAGATGTCTGAATAGGATAGATTACATTACTGAACCTGCTTTGAATTTTGTCAAGATTCTTAAGATAGCATCAGACCAGATATGCAAGTAATATTTATTGCAAGAACAAATGGTAGATTTATAAATTTATTTATGGTAGGTTTACAAATGTGCACAAGAAAAATTGTTTGGCACTACACAATGAACAACTTTCCTAACAACAGATATAGCAGTGGATTCAATATAATCATTCTACTTTCAGTTAGTAGAAAGTTCTTGATAATGACCAAGATGGTTGAAAGTATTACCAGAACACAAACATGAACTTTTGGACAGTTTATGCACACTTTTGATTTTAACATACAATAACTTATTTGAAAATTAGAGAAATGCAATAAGAAATTAAACAGACTTTATTGGTTGATTATCATTGTTTAGTGGCATGTTGACCATTATGGGTTATTTAATGCCAAAATATATGTATTTTGTAAGCAAATTGTTATTTTATTTTTTGGAAATAATAATGGTTTACCGATAGACGTCTTAGTAATTAACCCATAGCTGGGGGAGAAGTTGTGGATTCATACCTTTCCCAAGGGTATTTGTGCATAAGCGAATATAACAAACCCAACTTGAACTCAACTCGCTATTTTCTATTACACCATCTGTATATCCAAGCTAACAGCGCCTGGTATTCTCAAATGGTCACCCATCCTAGTTACTGACCAAGCTTGACATTGCTTAACTGTGGTGATTGTATGGGAACTAGTGTTTCAATTTGATGTGGGTGTAAGCCAAACAGACTTTGTTAGTTGCATCTAACAAAACTTGTGTGTACGTAAATGAAAACACACCTCTGTATAATTATATTTGCATGAGAAAATTGCATAAAAGGACAAATACACGCTTTCCTTCTTGAATAAAAAAAAACAAAACAACATAAATAAAAGAATCACTGCATTAAAATGAATATTGTTCTATTTAAACAAGAAATGTTTGTCTAGCAATACTCTTGTTATTCACTAGAGGAAACCATTCTATCAAAACAAACATTGGTTATTATGTTTTCACAAATAACAATAACCATGCTCGTTTGATTTCTTTCCTCACTGTCAATGGATAATATACAAGGAAGAAGCTTTTTTGTTTGGCGGTATTTTTATTTACTTATAATTACATTACTATTTCAACAGCAGCTAAAGTGGGTAGCAGATGTATTTTGAAGAAATAATAATGACATAATCAAGATATTGACGTTCTACTCAACCCCAAACAAAAGGCAAGGAAGGAAACTCCCATGGAAAGGTCATGAACAGGGACTGGATTTAAGAAAACTATTTAGCAGAAAAATTGTTTTAAGAGAAATATTTTATAAATTTCAACTGACAGCAAGTCAAAATGCTTGTTCAATGAATGCCAAATGTTTCCTTATAAGGAAACATCTTTTACCATTACCATTTTTTAAGATATCTGGTGGTCTTTTTGTCTGATTGTAAATATGAGCATATACAAATGTGTACATATTTTATACATAGTAATTAACAAACAGAGAAATATGCCCACAATAAGACTTAGTGTCAAAAGAACAGTTTTGACCATGACACCTTTTCTTTTCTTTTTTTCTTTTTTTAACTCCCTTCACTCTTCAGCAATGTTTATTGTTGTAAAAGCCAATGATTAGAATTGGAATAAAACCTAAACATATGATAAAAGTGAATTTATACATATTTGTTTTTGTTCTTAATAATTTACAACTAAAATATTAAAGACTATTTATACATTAGATTGTTTATTTACACTATTATTTATTGGAATGGTTGACAAAACGTTGGCTAATTGCCAATTGATTCAAACTTCATAAAATGGTAAATAATAAGAATTTCTTTATAGTTGGTTCACACATTTTTATAATTTGGTAAATGCTTATAAACTTATGAATAAAAAATTGTTTTCACATTTATTTCTTTATAAATTAGTAAATGATAAATATTGCAGTGTGTTAGTTCGAATTGTATTAGTTTTTTGAATGTTGTAGATATAAGAGATGGAATTATACCTCTCCCAAGGATTCTTGTACAAAAGTGAATGTAATGAATTCAACTGGAATTTGAACTCAGCTGGCCAAATTTTCTTTCTGAGCCACTATCCATATATCTCAAGAAAAAAAAAAACAACATTGACACAATTGTCTGTGGATAATAGAATCATGGTGAACTTCATGATCTTATCATGAAGATCATGAAAATTTTATACATATATACCGAGTGTAACAGCAAAATTATAAATCCTGGAGCCACAAGATTGTCCAATTAATTGTATCTTAGAAATGATTAAAGATATCTTACTGGAATTCTCCAAGGTTTTTATAACACTATTGGTCTCTACTTTGAGCAATAAAAATATATAATTACTCTAAGCTTAACAGAAGTATCGTGATGAAATCAATCATAAATGAAAATGACATGTTCATCATTAATTAATCATAGCTAAGTATTGGAAGCTAATGAAGGATTGAAATAAAGTTTAAATATATATATTATTTCAGGATCATTTTCCAACTCATTCAAGATGATCATTGCCCTCTCTAACCTTCTAACTTTCTGTCCTGGACTAACGAGTTGCCTCATAGGTTTCACGTACAATTTCATTTTCAAGTTTTTTTTTCACTTCTCTTTGGACTGTCAAAACTGAAACTCCTCCCTCACATGCCACACATCTTATGGATTCAGTTGGATCTTTTCTAATTCATCTCTTTAGCTCTAATTTGAAAGGATGATCCTTCTTGTTTTTGTGATCTCCAGTTTTCCTATCTACTGTTCCCTCTTTTTGAAACTTATTCCCCATTCTCTTTATGGTTTTTGAATGGACTTTTTCCTCTCACTATTGCTCAGTTGGGAAAACAGTGGTGCTGACACAAAATAATTTTAACCTGTTCTCTTTCTAACTGAATAACTCAAAGGTTTTTTTTTTTGTGATTCTGATAACCATTGGTGTCTAGATAGCTAAGTGTCTTATCTGAAAACCTGGAAAAAAAGAAACTCAATTAGTTTATTGTTTTTTTTTTAGATATTAAACATTTTTTAAGATGGATAATTATGCTGTTACATGATTTGAACAATTTTGCTGTTATACCAAGTGTGTGTGTGCATATATATATATATATATATATATGGTGGACTCTCCTTTCATGAATGATAGATGAGTGTCAACATTGGATGGTGCCTTTTATTTTACATTTATGCATGCTAGCAGGGGCTATTGTAGAGAAGATCAGGTAAGGGAAAGACGTATTTCATTTGTGCTTTCTAAAGTGTGATTACTAGCCCAGCCTTGCTGCAGGTGACAAAGCCACACTGACAGATGAAATTTATTAAAGCAGGATTTTGATGGCATCTCTGCTTCAGAGCTTGACAAAACTGATCATGGCACTTCAGTCTATAGTCTTCAAAACCCTTTAACTTAATGAAACATGTCTTATACCATGCTTTTCGGTTTGATCCTTGGGCTTCCCAGGTTTTCAGTTCAAAGTTGAGACCTTTCAATTTGTCTTTGTAGCATAATAGTGGACATCTAACTGAATGCTTGGAGTTTGGTTGTTGTCCAAACAACACCTTTTTTAGAAGCCCAAAGTGGGATTAGAAAGTTTCAAGACACCATTTCTCCAGTAGCTCCAATTATGTAAGTCAGCTAATGAATTATATGGCAATGTACCACATGAATGTGCTCACAATTTTTCCTATATGTTGCAGGCACTTTTGCTGCTGACTGTTCATTCTAAATGCTCCTCATCTTGGCCTAACACTTACCCAGCTTTGAAACACACATATGATTCATAAACCTCTGACCAAAAGAATGTGCACTAAAAACCTGATGAAGCATCTTGATGGTTTTCGATAATAGATTTGCTGAGATCTTTAAAACAGTTGATGTCCATACACTTCTTGGATTATTAAACCCCCTAAAGAGCACAAAGCTATTTCGACACATGTTACAAAACCTTTTGTAATAGTGAACAGTAGTAGATGTCAAAATATCTATTGACAGACTGACTCAATAAGCTGAGTATCAGTGAATTCTAGCTATGTACACATTATTGTTGAATGGTATAATTACCAGCACATATTACATGAACCAGGGCACTGACATGGTGTAATTGTTAGCAAGCTTGTCTCACTGGGTCAGCTATGACTGAATAGTGAGTTTGATGTTCACTGGGTTCCTCCATACATTTGGCCTTGTGCCATAGCTAAGCTACACTTAGCAAATCACCAAATATTACAGGAACCATAATATTTGGCTGGGATCATTCATATTCTTGTAATATTTAAGCCCAAGCCCCAGGGGGCCTTCACCCAGTCAGTATGTCTCTCTTGGAAGGGGGCTAGGTTTTATTTCTTAGCACCTGAAACATCTCAAAAAGGTGAAGTACTGAACGGGCTTGGGCAATTTTTCCACAGTATTGCTATTAAACTTCCTTTAAAACTTGACCTTGTGTCACATTCGGTTGTAACCCTGGTAAATACCTGTATTCATCATCATCCTTCGACACCCCTATGGTTGGTTGGAACTCCATTGACAATATCTTTCTACACTGTTCGGTCCTGTATTGTTGTTCCCAGATCCCCAATATCAAACCCTGAGTCCAAGCTATGATTTCTGGGAAAGTCAATTTTCATGAAAAGACACTTCTAGAAGAATGTCTTAAGAGTAAAGATGAGATGATTTTTCTATATTACAGGAACCGTCAAGCTGACATCATTATTGACAATCAATGGATACCTAATGATGAGTTGAGTGTAACTTGGTTGATATGTTGTGTCTATAATAACATCTATATCACCCAAGATGAGAACAATAGTTTGAATTAATACAAGAACGTTTGAAGGAATTCTTGCTGCCTAAGTGCAAATTATATACAAGGAGGTGCTGAAGATAAGTTCTTGGCTTGATCAAAAAGCTCTTCTAAAAAGAAAAAAAAAAAAAAAAAAATGAATAAATAAATTTTGTTTGGACTTTTCCGCATCTCATTAATATGGTACAACATTTCAAAAAAGAATTACATAGGAATGACTGTGTTATGACATCATACTGTATTCAAGGATGTAATTTATTCATGGTTTTTAGTTTCAGAAACAAGGGATTGTATTATACTCAAGTCATATTATATACATGAACATACGGTAGATATATTTTTGAAAGATATTTTGTCATCCAATCCCAAGTTGAAGTTATTTATTTTCATGGCATGACTTCTGCAACAGTATGAAAAGGTAGACCCTTTAAATAGTCCACTAATGCAAAAAAAATTTGAATGAGTGTCTTACAGATAAACAAAAATCAAACCTAAATTAACTATCATCTGTAATTAATACATTTTTTTTCTTTTCTTTTTTTCCAGAAAACAAAACTGATCCAACTCGCTTTGAGGGAGATGGAATCAGTTTCAAGGGCAAGTTCATTGGTGTTGCCGATGTATGGGACTCGCACGGTGATGAGATGTGCCAAGAAACCATGCAGAAATTAAAGGCGGCTGTGAAGAGTTCTGGGGAACACAAGTTGCGCATCCTGCTCAACATCTCTTTAGAAGGCATCAAGATCATTGATGAAAAGATGGAGGTAGGACAAGAAAGATATATTCTTTTAGCTCTTACCTGACTTACTCATCCCCAATCTGTTTGCCTTTGTTTAATTAATTAATTAATGTTTGTTCTTTAGCACTGTTTGTTTGCTTGTTTGTTTTTAAGCTTTTTTTGCTTCTTGTTTGATACTTATTCATTTTTAATTCCAGTTTGTTGGTAAACACTTTTCTTAGCTTATATAGAAGGGGCTTCTAAAAAGTTCTCACTCTAACTATGACACTCACCCCCTCCTCAAAAAAAAAAAAAAAAAAGACGAAAACATTGTTTTCAGCACCCCCTCATATATAAGTTGTATGGATATGAATTTGTGATCCTGGGTTTCACGCTTTTGTGATCAGCAGACAAACTGGTTTATGCTTTAAAATAGGATCTATTTCACTGTGTTTGGTGGTGGGGGGGGTAGTCTGCTTCTGTGTTGGTTTATTTTTTTTTTTATACATAGATCCAATTTTAAAAATAAACCAGTTTGTCTATCACCGATATTGAGCACTTTCCACTAAGTACCATGCATATAAAATATAATTATATATATATATATATATATATATAAATATATATATATATATATATATATAAAACACACACACACACACATGTACTAGTGCATGCTTTCCTGTATATTTCTACAAACACATGTATATGCGATAATTTGTGTCACTTTGTGGAAAAGACTCTCGATAGGATGTTTCCCTGATCGCTACAATCTTAACCTCTTCAAGTTTAGGGTCAATCATTATCTATCCTACATATCCTCATAATCTGCACTTCCTCCTGTTACATCCATATAACAACCTCACTCAGTAACCCTCTATCTTGAGTGGCTCTTAAGCCTTGTATTGGGTGAACATTAGTAAAAAGAATAATATGTAGCATAATGATAAAAAAAATTTATATAAGAACTATTTACTGTCTGAATTTCTGGAATGAGGAGTTATCAATATTTACATTATTTATATGAAGACTATTGTCCTCATCTTTGTTGTTTTTATCACCTGATCACCTGCCTGAATTTCTGGAATGAGGAGTTATCATTATTTACATGCGGGCTATTGTCATCATCACAACGTTTCAGCCATTGTTCCCTCCAGCCTTCCTCAGGTCTATACCAATCTGGGTAACTTACGGGGAATTCTTAATTGAACCCTTTATTTAATCTGGGAGGGGGTAGACTGTACTTGTTCCACTACTTACGACTAGGGATATCATCTAGTTCTTATTTTTATTTAGTACTGCTCAGCTATTGCTCACCCATTTCTACTAAGTGTGAATACACACTGCCTGACCAAGAGACTGAATTCACAACCACTATGTCACCAGATCCACACACCAATACTTTTATTAGCTCCCAATTGTGTGTGTATTTACACACTTGTATTGTTTTCTGTATAAATTACTGTGTGCACCTGTACATACATAAACATAATGTATTTAATACTATAATCATTTTTTTTTTCATGGGTACACATGTTTGAGTTGCTATCCCTGTTTTTTTGTTTTCTTAAACAGTGAAATTAATATCAACCAGCCTATATCGAGAAGTCCTACTAGAAGAAAAATTATACCTCCCCAACAGGAACTGAACTCACATTCCATTTTCCAGTGCTTCTATAGCTGAAAACGTGCCACTAACAGTACTGTTCGATCTAGGCCAGTTGTTATTAATTTCATTGTTAAAGAAAATAAAAGCCAGGAATATCAACTTGAACACGTGTACCCACTAAAAATAATGTTTATGGTAATAACAAATAATGTTTTTTTTGTTTTTAATTGATTTCACTTCATGCAAGGCAGTAAAGCCACTAAGACACAAGGAAACTGGAAGAATTAGAAACAGAAACATTACTCATGACAGAATATAAAGAGTAATCAGGAGGACAGTAGGTAGCAATTGACATAGCATTTAAATTTTTGAAGGTTAACGTTGGCTCGAAAGTATGGATCTGGAAAGGAGTTCCACAAGCAAGAAGTGCAAGAAAAGGAACTGTTAGAATTTACAGCCAACTCAACTGTAAATTGACAAGATCTTGACACCGGTCTAGTACTGCACTTAAATTAAAAAAAGTCTAGATACAGCAAACAGTTCATCTGAACAATTACCATGAAAATATTTATAGAAAAGTCACAGAGAGGCAACCTTATGGTGGTGGGAACATGACTGCAGCCAAGATTCTAGGTCAGGACCAATAATATTGAGTTTTTCTTTGGATTTTATCAAGGAGCTCTAGATAAATAACAGGAGCACTGGACCATGTGTGGCAGCAATATTCTAAGCATGGACGATTTCAAACAATTCACTCAAAAATTACTAAAGCTAGTAGAGTCATAAAAGACTCAAGAAATGTGTTGTCTTTAAATAGGTAATTCAAACCATGCTCTATGAAGAAGGCCTCTCGTGGCCAAAACTAGTAGCAGCATGTTATAGCTATAGAAGCGGTTTTCCTGATGGAAAAAGGGATACATGTTCAATTTCTGCTGTAAGATTTCTTGATGTAGGCCAGTTGTTATTAATTTTACTGTTTAAAAAAAAACAAAAACATGAATAGTGTACTTGTCAGCAACCACTCACATCAGGATCATCATCTTCTCCCCTCTTGTGGTGGTGGCAGAGATGGCTCTGAAGGGCCAACCTACTCTTGAAACATGAATAGCAACTCAAATGTGTACCTAATGTTTACATTAATAACAAATAATGTTGGATTAAAAAATCCACTTATAAACACACAGGGATTTTCCAAGCAAAGTTTAAATGTGGCACAAGGCTGAAAGTATGGGCACCCAGTGAGGATTGCACTCACTACATATACAGACACATTTATGTCCATTGTACATTTCATTTAGATTATCTATACTTCAGTAGCTTGTTATGTCCTCATGGATTTTGTGGAAATGTTTAAGAGCCTACACTGGCAGCAAATGGCCTGCATACAGATTAAAAAATTAAAAAAAAAGTTCAGCAAATATACACAAATAGAAATGGATGTAAAACAAGACTGTGTCATCTCACTGGACTTATTCAACCTATACAGCAAGACAATTCTGAGAGAATTAGAAGTCCTAAGCAGGATTCATTATTAGCTGCCACAATTTTAACAACATAAGGTACACAAATGTCACAGTGTCGGTAGCAGACAAAAAAAGCTACAAAAACTCCTAGAGGAGGTAGTGAAGGAAAGCGAGAAGAAAGGATTAAACATCAACTGCAAGAAGACAGAATGCATGGTTGTTAGCAAAAAGATGAACCCAAAGTATGAATTGCAAGTCAGAGATACCAAAAGTAAACAATATAAATATCTGGGAAGTGTTTTAACAGAGGACAGAAAAAGTGACAGTGAGATCTGAAGGCATATTGGGATAGCCAAAGAAGCATTACAAAAACTAAGTAGAGTACTGAGAAATAGGAAAATTTTACTCAAAATGAAGTAAAGAGTACTAAACTCTTATGTGATTCCTGTATGGCAGTGAGTGCTGGATGATCTCCTTAAAGATGAAGTGGAAAATTGAAGCAACAGAAATGTGGTTCTACAGAAGGATGATGAGGATACCGTGGACCAAACATGTGAACAACAACAAAGTTTTGTAGAAAATGGAAACAAAACAGAAACTAATACTTAACATCAGAAAGAGGCATCCTCATCTTTGTTGCCACATTTATCACAGTGTTTCTAGGGCATATAATGAGGAAGGAGGACTTGGAAAATTTGATTCTCAAAGGACAATTAGGGGCAAGAGGGACAGAGGAAGACAATGCATTACATACTTAATGAGCTTGAGTAAATGGATGGTGAAACAAAGCTTAGGAAAAATAATAGAAAGACAAAGTTTATTACAAGCTACAAGGGACAGGAAGTTGTGGAGAGCTATGATCGCCTAACTCCTGATGGGATATGGCCCATAAAGAACAAAAAGTGTCTTATTCAGTCATTTGAGTTAAGTGAGATACTGTTTGTTGATACCCATCTTTTCACCTAAGGTCTTTTCTGTAATATTTTTTACCTTCAAAATCATCATCCACATTTGTTAAACAGCTTTCTCAATTGTTTTTACTAGGGTTTCTCCTTTACTAGACACAGCTCACCTATTATGTGCAAGGTGGTCTAATCAATAAGACATTTGCCAGAAAACAGAATAATTTGGGCTATTCACAGTTAGTATTTTTTGAGCATATTACATAATATTTCCTCCTCTTAATCATGCTTGCAGATAAAATTTGACAAGTCTAAACAGCATAAAAATTAATAAATACAAGTTTTTCATCTGACAATTGCAATCAATCTCAGACAATGGAGGATTACAGCCATGTCTGATCAAACATGATATCTTCCTTTCCAGTCTTGTCTTATTGGTACTATTCTGTCAAATATTTCCTCAAAATTTGACAAATAGATTTCTTACTTCTCTTAACATGCCAAGTGTGTGTTAAATTTTCCATACTTTCTTTCCTTTCATGTATCTTCAAAATTTTAGCTGTCCCTTTCTGGTTATTAGCAACAACTTCATTTTTTGCATACTATGGCATACTCAAAATTTGTTGCTAGAACCATATCACTCGTGCTTCAAGTATTTTCTCTGACAAAATTGTCCAGTATTCACTACCACGGAGAAGAGTAGACATTGCTGTTCAGTAATAATTTCTTTGTTTCTATTTTCAATCTCTAGTCAACTTCTGATTTCCATTTCATACTTTCCATTGTCTATTATTATACAATCCAAATAGTTAAATTTCTGCACTTGTTTAATATCCCCATTATGTAACTCATGCCTTGAATAGTCTCTTTTCCTAACAAAATGATTAGTACTTTCTTTTTACTTTAATCTATCTTGTCCAATGATTATTGATTTTTTTTCTGAATCTACCATCAATACAGTATGGTCTATATAGTGTATGCTAAGGTTACGTCTGCCAGTCCTAAATCTTGGAAGCTCTTATAATCTTCTTCGTAATAAATAAATCCAGTGAGAAAATACATCCTTGTCATT